AATCAATACAACAGCTGCAACTACCAACCTTCATTAATCATAATTAAGTTACACATGTACATGTAATAAAGAGACTACCTTAAGCCTACTATTATTTGCGTCTACTAATTTTAGCGAAATCAGCAAAAGTCATGTTTAGCGTTACTAACTTTAGCATTTTTAACCAAATTAACTATAAATAATAACCATTATAATGAATAATAATTATTTTGGCGTCTATTTAATTTAGCGGTTTAAAGCTCTCTCACTAATATCGCTAAATTTAGTAGACGCTAAAAATAGTAGGCTTAAGGTATATTATAGTGGTTTACCTTTTAAGGTGATAAGGATCAAATGGGAAAATGGTTTCTAGTGACGTATTTCCGCTAGTGGGTGTGGTCAAAACAGGTAAATAACAACGTTTGTTTTCCTCAATGACAGAATAACAATAAACAATCTCATATTTACTAAACAACAACAATATAATTCATGATTAGTGGGAGTGGCTAATTACCTCATTATTGATGCAAATAGCTCAACAACTGAACCAAGACACACCTATTATTAATAACCATTAATAACTATTAATAACTAGTGGTTATTAACTAATAAACTTACTTTTAACGGATTAAGTTTTGACGTTATGATGCGGTCAATGTTCAACTTACACAGAAAAGATAAACCTGAATAATAAGTACAAGTACACATGAATATATGAGAATATAACCAGTCATTAATGTACATGTACATACAATTACATGTACATGTACAGTAAATGAGGTTGAGGTAGATAGGGATAATGGTCTTACCTTCTTTATGATGATGAATGATGTCATGATGATGGAATATGATGATATAGAACAATGACTGGCACAATGAGTACCAGACACTGTGGACTGACACTTCACACTGAAGAGATACTGATAACCTCTCATCAATATACCTTATGGAAATAAAGTATTATTATTATTATTATTATTATTATTATTATTATTATTATTATTATTATTATTATTATTATCATCATCATCATCATCATCATCATTATTATTATTATTATTAATACGTACTGGTGCAGCCAGTCTGATATAAGTAGAAGGTATTGCTTGACTAAACTGGAAACAAAAGAATATGTTCATCAGACACACATGTACAGTACATAAGGACATTATGGTGGGTTCATTTTAATGATAATAATTGTTACATTAATTATACAAGTACAAGTAATTGTACATGTACAGTATAGTATGGACATGAGATGGTCACTAAAACTAGCCATGGGAACAAAACTGAGAATTTGATCTTTTAACAGTTCATATACCAACCAGTCTTCCCATATCAACACCATCATTATCATACATTATTATTATTATTATTATTAATTTATTATTATTACTTTAAAGGTATGAACTGTGCTCTTGATATGTAGCTTGATAAGTAGCAGGATAGGACTTGTCTTAATAAACCTAATAACTATTAATAACTATTAATAACTACTGGATAACTAACCTGGTGAATGGACATTCTGAAACTAAAATAAATAAATAAATAAATAAATAAATAAATAAATAAAAATACAAGTCAAAATTAATAAACTTACATTTTCCCATAACTGTGCTAGAAAGTATTCAGAAAAACTCTACACAAAAACAGAAAAAGTTCCTGTACTATAGTACATGGTCATTGGCTAAATATCATCAAAAATAAAAAGATGAGAATTCTCCATTTTTATTACATTTTCTGATTCATATACATGTACTTATGTTGCATAAAAATTTTGAACTAATTCCGATCAAAATTGGATTTTTTACGAATTTTTTAAGTTTCTTAAAAATCAGGCAAAAGTCCCTGTACTGTAGTACAGGGACTTTTATATAAGTAGACTTATTATAAGTAGATTATAATAATTATTGTTTATTTATTAACGTCAATTACTTTGGAGTAGTAGTTAATTGAAGTTCAATTGCTCTATGAATATTAATGTATACTGATTCACTTTCATGATCTATGAATAATTAATTAATTAATACAAGCCACACCCACTCACCGGGTAATAAAGCTGCTTTAATTAATGATGTTAATACATTATTAATGAAACTGACATGAAATGAGGTCAAATCAAGCAAGTAATTAATATATGTATCAATAAGAACTGAATCAGGACTGGAATACCAGGAGAAACTCTAATAATAATGATAATAATAATAACTTAATTAATAATTAATTCATTACCAGAATCGATTTAATTATTAATTCGTCGTCAACGATTGTCACGTATTTCTTGAAAATAATCAGCCACTTT